TTACTTCCCCCAGAAGTGGCTTTTGCACTTTCACTTGGCCTTGGTTTCGGGCCTCTGTGATGGTTCCCTTAGATTCTACCTTTAATATCCTTCAAAGTCCTTATTGTAACTGTAAACTTTCCCACTTCTTATTTCCATACCTAGTGTTCCTGGAAGGAATCTTTTAAAACCGTAGACCCTGGCCAGGGGTTTGACGTAAGGCAAAATAAACATCTGTTGATTGAGAAAATTGTAATTTTAAGAGTCTGGGGTAGTCGCTGAAAGGTGCTATAGAATTGCTGGTTGTGAATTGTCTGTTTTAATAGCTGATAATGAGAAGAGCTGGCTTCCAAGAATAATTCAGTTATCACTAAAGGAAAAGCCAAGGCAAAGACATTCAGGTTCTGATTCAGGTTCTGATAGGCCAATGTAGTTATGCCAGATCATTTGAGTGAAGTCCTTAATTTAGAGAGCTTTGCTGCCATAGCAACCTAATTACAATGTAAAGTGAGGTACTCCTACCACCATTCTATAAGGTTACATTCCTTCAAGAGTCCCAGATAAAATTCAGAGGAAGAAAATAAAGAAAAAAGAACAAGAATATTTGCATTGAATTCTTTTACTTTCTTAATTTTCTTCCTTACAACATGATCACAAAGTCCAGTGGAACCCTTAACACCACCCAGCAATAGCCAAATTTCCTCTTAAAACAGAGCTCAGCATCACGTAGTTTCTCTGCTTGGAACCTCTCAGTAGTGTCTCATCTTACAGTAAAATGGGACCAACATACCATGAAAAACAGAGTCTATGTTCAAGGTCTTGGCAGATATTTTTCCTCTGCTGCAAAAACCTTCTCGATAGTCAAAACTCTCCAGCTTTTTTTTAAAGACTCTCTTCAAATCTTACCCATTTAGAAAGATTTACCCTTCTTCCTTAAAAAAACAAAACAAAACAAAGCAAAACAAACAAACAGAAAACAATGTTGCCTTCCACCCTCTCATTCTGCAATCCTCTAAGACGAACTCTTTCCTGACCCTTATCCCCACCAGACCCTTATCACCACTGTTTTTCCTGACACCATGTACACATATTCTCTATATGTGATATGCACAGCATACATATTTATTTAAAGCCTTAAAAACTGACATTTTTCTGGATTTCACATTTTTCAAGCCATAGCAAAACCAAAGAACATACAGTAGCTATTTACAAAGCGAAAACTTTCTAAGTTACCTGCTCCCAGCAAAATTGAGAAATAAATGCAAGAAGAAGCATGCTTCATTTGGAGAATGAAGGAATAAATGGGTGGAGAGGGCTCTAAACACTCTACTCATTCCCCTGCCTTTTATGGTTGAAGACAGAAGAGTTACTCATAGTTGCATAAGGCAGCGGCTACTAATTATAGCGAAACCAAGACTGGAATCCGCTTCTTCGTTCCAGCACAGCACCCCTTTATAACATGTTAAATCCTACTGATGTACTTTTTTTTCCTGAAGTTCCTCAACATAAAATATTCCAGACACAGCCTCCCTTTATACAGAAAAGTAAGAATTAGGGTGCATTTACTCAAATAGATCAATAAATATCCTATCTAGAGAAATTACCGAAGATTATATGTGGTCAGACTTTTATTGTTTCTAAAATATCATAATAGCTACTTGCTGCTCACATTATTTTATGAACATTCCCTCTGGTTTAGGCACTTCAGCTCAGTGTCTCCATTCCTCACAACAAGCCAGCAAAGTAGATTTTATTAGTCCCATTTTTCAAATGAGGTCAACGAAATTCAGTGTGTCATAGTGCATTGCTCAATTTTCCGCAACCAGAAAGGGTTCAGAGACAGAATTTAGACCAAGGTCACTCCCGCTAGCACCCATACTTTCTCTCTTTCCTCGTGCTTCTGTAAGATAACAATGGGGAACTGTAATAATCACTGGTGTCATTGAACTTATCTGCTTGTGTAAAGTTTCCAATGATCATGGTATGAGCGGGGTTCCAAGCCACCTCTGCCAGTCTAAAGCAATAAGGTGACAGTGACAAAACGTGTTGGAGTGCATTGCTCTGGAAGAAACATGCCTTTATTTACTTAACTGGGACCAAGAATACATCAATCCTGGCCAGAGAGGTTTAGAAGAGAAGCCCCCATCTGACGTGTAAAATTTGGATAGTCTCTACAGTAGAAAGGAAAAGAGAGGACTCACAAAACATAGGATGAAAAATTAAACATTTGCATTTATTTTCCCTTTTTGCTGGGAACAGGCATCTTAGAAAGCTTCACAATCATAATTAACTATTGTTCATTCTCTGGCTTTGAGAGGGCATAAAAACATTTTAAAGCAAGAGAAAAGCCCATTGTAAGGGCTTAGAAAGTAAAAAGTAAGTCATTTAATTTTTCTTTCATCTGATGTTAATTTATGCAGAAACGAATAACATATTTGTGGCTCAGAGCTGCTAACTGTGGAGAGGATTTCTCTCTCAACCAGCCTTCCCTGTGATCCCTGCCAGAGAGACCCATCATTTCAGGGCCTACGACACTCTTGCCAGAGAAAGGCAGTACACTGATAAGTTCACATGCTACAGACACATTTAATTGCTACCGCTCTGAAAGTCAATTCCATTAAATGTTCTAACTCTTCTCTAGCTGCCACAAACAAAACAGCAAAGAATCTGGAAGACAGGGTGAGGGGGAAATGAAATATTTGGGTGCATAGTCAGGTGGAAAGGGAAGAGTATTGTTGACTGTTGAGGGAGAAAATAGGGGAAGGAGAATTTTCATAAAAGAAATGTGGGTTACTTCCATTTCCAAGCAGGACATAATTAAATTATGGTGTCTTTTATAATTCCACTCATTCTGCTCCTGCCAAATCACCTATAGAATAGAGACAATCGTGCTTGAAGAAATGCTGAATCTTCAGAAGTTGATGTTTTAAATGAATTCACCATGGATAAAGTAAGCCCCAGCTTTCTACATGGCCCCCAGAATTTCTACAGCTTAAAGGTCTAATTCATAAAAATGTTATTAAAGTACATTATTTATACCTGCTTTTTGTGGACTTCTGCTTTTATTCATGACTCTCTCAGTGTAAGGCCGTAATCACAGGCAGAGTGTAAATGGAAGCTTTAATTCAATCTGAACTAAGGCAAGAATACTGTATCACCACAATAAAATTCCAGTTATATTAATTTAAAGGGTAGGATTTATTGCACAAGAGTATCCTCTTTAAAAAAAAATGAAAAGAACGTTTTTCATCTTATGACCTCAAATACTGACTTTCATTCTGAAGTTCAATGTAAGATTGACTAATTGGCATGCACTTTTAAATGAAATATTTATTCAGCGACATTAGGAAACCGAGAAACTTGGATCCTGAGTTGTGATCTTATTGTGACTACAGGTTGATGTCTGATAAGGGCAGGTTGATGTCTGATAAGGGCTAAGAAATATTTACAAGCAATCTGTATTTTAATTAACCCATTTTCTGGCACAGACAATTAGCAAATGCCTATTCAATTGTCTGGCATATGCATTTTTTAGATAAGATGGAAAACGCCCTGCTATGTAAAATTTCTCCCAGACCAACTGAAAGTAATGATACTTAAATCAAAAACATCTTTATTCAGAATTTGAAACACGATTTACATATTTAATATGCATAAACCTGTAGGAAAAGGCAAAGTGGAACTCAATTGGTTTATTTCTAACTCTGGAACTATCACAATTGGACTTCTTGACTTTCTCCTTCTGACTGGATGAGCAAGTGTAATGGTACACCACAGACACATTCAGACAAGAGTGTGAATACATTTCTTCCTACGACATGAGCTTATCTCTAGGAGTCATGAGAAGGGGTTCTTTATAAATTATACTTCTAACACTGAAAGTGTTGTCTTTGATCTTGTAGGTAAAAAAAATCTCTATACCTAAGGGAATGAATTAATTCTTATATTTAATAAGATGCAATCATTAGTAGACAAGTTCAGCATTCACACTAGAACTATGCATTGAATTTCTTCAGCATAGAAACGATCTCATAATAGTTCTGGGTAATGAAAATCTTTGAAAGCTTGGCATCTATACTTGTGAGGAGAGACAAGGGACAAAGAGAAAGGTATTTCAAATATAAGGTAAATAGCACTACGAATTGAGGATAAAAATTAGTCGATTTCCATCATCAACCTTACTCAAACCTAAAAACACTGAGTATTCCATTTCGACAATTCTGTGCTTCTATAGCACTTTGTTTTTTGAAATGAATACACTTACCAGAACCATGTCCAGGGATATCCAGTTGTTACGTGGCTACAGTGAGGCATTTGAGATTCCTTCTGCTGTCAGACCAAGACTTTCTCAGATCTCTGAAAAAGAAATCTTCCGTGGAGAAGTCTGGAAGCACACATGCCATTCTCTGTGGCACCCAGAATTTCTGCAACCTCTGGGTGCAAAAAACCTAAGCATCCTTGTTGATATAACCACTCAGAAAGGGCAGTGGAAATTATGTCCCCAACATACTGCCAGACAGATGTCACCAAGCTCCAAATGCCTGCTGACAAGAAGCAGATTTGAGAAACTTTTAAATCAAAACAGATATCATTAATGGCCTTAGGGTATTATTTCTAATGACATTGAACATACGAAAAGAAAACAAAATAGTAATTCTTTTAGCTTACCTGCAGTATTTTTTCTCAGAAATGAGATTTTAATTTCATATATTACTATCTTACTTTAGGCACCAAGCGATAGCTTGGTTCAGAAAGCTCAAACTATCTTGTTCATTTGATAAACAATATTAGCAACCTACCATTTTATGCATTTACTCTGAGCCAGGCACTGTACGGAGTGCTTTGTAAACATTAGCTCACTTTGAAGGAAGTACTATTATTTTACAAATGAGGAAAATAAGGCTTAGTGAGATTAAATCACTTGCTCAAAGTCACAAAGCTATCTGGAGGTAGAACTGACTTAACAGTAAAGGCTTCGTTCAAATCTTGGTTTTTCTTTTGTACTAAATTTTCTTCTCTAGAAAAAGAAGAGGAAAAGAAGAAAGCTGAGAAGAAAGTGACTTCTGAAACAAAAAAGAAAGGTAAGTAACTTAAAAACTAACACACAAGTCAATTAAGATCCCTTTACAATGCTACTGGCAAAGCTCTTGTTTTCTAGAAAAGAATGAGTAATAATTAATAATTATATTGTTATTGTCAACGAACATTCTTGAGATTTATAACTATTCCAAATAAAGTTGAAATTGATAAATATTTAAAAAGAAAAGTCATGCCTTAACACTTTTTACAAATTGTTACTGATTGAATCTTTTTCTTCCTGGGGAGTGGTGCTTAATTCTCTCTAATTCAGTACTTCGTTTGACTGCAAATACAAATATAAGAATTCCTATTCATTCAGTTTAATGAAAAGTGTCTATCAAAAGGACAACTATAGAATGTATAGGGGGGAAAAACTAGTTGATTGGTTTGCTGTATTTTGTTACTATTTGAAAACAGTGCATCTGAAGTCCCAAGTGAGCTCCAGAGATTTCTGAGCTTCTGGCATGCTTCCAGTGGCCTGATAGCCCAGAGAACTTTCAATATATTCCTTTTAATGTCTTTCAGAAAAAACTATTGAATTATACCATAATTAATAATGGCATTTAATGTTTCCATTGTCATGAGAAAAAAATTTTTTTGAGCTTAGCAAAAATTTTCTCCCTTCTTGAAGAGAAAACACACCAGAGCCACTATTCTGTAATGAAGGTGCTAGTTTACTCATATTTGGCATGACTATGGCACTGATTTCAGATTACTCTATAGAAGATGTGTTGGATGCCATAATGGCAGTCATGTGTGCCCTGACATATATGAGAATTAACTAGATAAATGCCTATAATTTTCCCATTTCACTACCAGAAAAAGAAGATGTCAAAAAGAAAACGGATAAGGACACTGCCATTGATGTGAAAAAAAAAGGTATCGTATTTTGTCTCCTTAGTCAGCTTATGTTCATGATGCTTGCTCATGAGAAGATCTTGGGGCAAGGTAAACAAATTGGGATATAGGTACTTAAATCTGTCCATGTGCAAGCCGTCAAAGCAAACATTGCACTAGACAAAATTAAGCATGCAAGGAAGACTTTACTCAAGGCTGTTGTAATAGAGGAGAGAGGTCACAACTCATTCTGAACTCAATTTCACTGAAATAAAAAGCAGGAGGCTTTTTATAAGCTGGAAGGGGCAGAGGGTTGTAGGCCATCTGTGTGTGCTAAATGGCCCACTCAAAGCAAAAGTAAACTTTTTTCTTAACTTAATGACTTCATGACCGGAGTGTAGTTTTACAACTTGGAGCAACACACCCCAAAGGAGTGAGATTCTTACTATCCCACGGAAACTCTGTGATTGGGTACTATTGTTCTTGATGATTACATTTCAAAGGGATGGAAAGAGCCTTTTAAAAAGATTTTTATCTCAAAGAAGCAGGGCAAGAATTTACAAATACAAGTCTTCTGAAGTAAATGCTCTTAGAAAAGGGAGGGCAGGAGCCTAAGGTCAGAAAGAAACCTGTCTAAGGTTTAGTGAAGCTGAAGAGACCTTTAACGCCATCTTGGTGAAGACATAATGAAAGTGAGAAGAGTTACATAGCATAATAACACCACTTTGCAAAGCAAAGAAGCTCAGAGAGAATAATGCAACCCATTAAGAAACAGCATTGTTCAACAGCTTAGAGTTTTGCTTTATACTTAGTTGTGCTTTAATTCTTGTTCAAACATGAATACCAACTTCTATTCAGGTTAAGCTTAAGTCTAGGTGAAAAAGATAGTTGTCTTATACCATGAGATATTATGGTTTGGTGTTAAGTGTTCTCACCCCAAATATTTCCTCCACTGGTGTCAGTGATGCTTGAAATTCCACCATTAGAGATATTCCATTCCTTTGAGTTATGAAGGAATTGTCCTCTATTAAAATGCAAATCTCCAAGGACCTGTGTATACGGGGTAGCAAACTAATTCTTCTCAGTTATTAACACTTAAAATGAATGAGATTTCCAGATCTTCTCTGTGTAATAATAGGCTGGAAACAACACCCTAAAAAATGAGGCAGTAGGTAAGCTTCAGTGAAGGAGAGGTTGAAGAGAGAGCTTCAAAGTAGGCCATTGTGTGGCGAGAACAGGATTGGATAGCATCAGGAAGACCTTTTTCTTCCTAGGGAGTATAGAGCCTATGCTGGGGTGGGGGGAACGTGATGGTGAAGGATCCTGGAAAGGGAGACGATAGGATGCCAAACTAGATACTAGAAAGTAGCAAATAGGAATTGCAGGAAATCCTCAACATCATGCTATAAGCAGGGTAAAAAAAAAAAATTATAAAATATTAGGAGTTGCATGATGGTACATGACTCATGAAATGCTCAGGAAGTGACCTCCAGGTGTTCTGTGGGTCTGAGAACTCATTGCCAAATACTTTGCATTCAAATTTTTATTATTAGGGATGGATTACTGTAGAGTCTGTTGTATTATCAAACACTCATTCAATTTGTTTGATTTAAAGCTTTCCTCATGTCCCTGGTGAAACAGGTATCTTATCATAAGAAAGGGAAAATGCAATTCTGACTATATGATGATACTGAGAACTTGGTTGCTGGGGTCAGTGTACCTGTGCCGTGATTGTGATTGGGTGCTAAAGGGAAACAAGGTTCTCCTTTCTGGGCCATCAGTTTTGCCAGGTATTTGCAGAAGGAAGTTTTGAATTGTAACCTTCAAAGTATTTGTTTTATGTTTGCAAATGCAAAATCAGAAAAATACGTTTGCCAAAACTCAGGATGTGTGTGGTTGTCATTTTGGTTTGGTTTCAGTTTTTTAGGAGAAAGGCAACACACCTTTATGTACAGTGAGTGATGGGAAACTTCGGTATTTCTCTGCTACTGGGAGACCTGTGTTATTAGCCCAGCAGTCATGTCAAAGCGAGGTGGTATACCACTGGCAAGAGAACTGATTATGCCAGTATCACTTCCCACAAGGTCAGAGTTCATTCATCCACTTCTTAAAAGGCCAGGGCTCCTGTGCTCATCCATGGAAACAGAGAATGAACTGGGCAGTTGCTCAGCATACCTGGGAGGGCTGCTCAGCTAGTGTTGAAAAACAACTTTGTCCTTCTGGGAACCAGTTTTCCCTGTGTGTTTGTGTGTCATTTTCACTTTTGATGACAAAAAATACTGTTGGCTCTTAAAACTAGGAAATATGTATAAATTGTTTGTTTACGAGCGCTTAACCCCCAAATACTCAAACTTGTGTGTGTGTTTATGTGTATGAGTGTGTGTGAGAGACAGACAGATAGACAGATACAGAGGTTTTAACTCTTGCTTCTTTTGAGAGTTTAATAATTCTCCAACTGTATTTTCATGGGAGAGGCAATATGGTTTAAAAACAGCCAGTTTGAAACGTGAAAGTAGTAATTTCCAGAGATAATGAGAGAAATCGAAAATAACCTGAAATCTTGAAGAGCTGGGGCACATATGTCATTTCTTCCTAAAATAGTTGGAAGAATATGGCAGAATGTAGGATGCTACTACTCTAGCCCCAAAGAGTAGAAAATTTACAAGGCATAATATACGCTTAGATACTTATGGGTTTTATCATGATATTTTCTTATACTTATATTGACTTTTATATTATTTACATTTATATAGCATATAAAGTTACCTATATATTATTTTGTTATTTTATTTTATTACATTTATATATTATAATTATGTAGATGCAAATCAACCTAAGACTTAAATTCTATGATAAATGAGCCTCTACTGCCTGAAACTGGTAAATCACACTTTGCAAATGATCTATTCTAGGGAAAATGTGGGTGGGATTTTGCATGATATAAAATTGCCAGTTCACAAATTAATAATGGTTGGAACTGGGTAATTGGTGCATGAGGGGTCATTATAATAATCTCTTGTTTTGTATATATTTCAAGTTGTCCTGGTGCAAACAAATAGCTGCCACTTAAAAAACATTGTATGAAGTGGAAAAAAAAGTCACGAGGATATTTTTTCAGTGTCATGAGGTATGTTTCAGCCTGAATACCATGAAAAAAAGCAATCAAGAAAGGATATAAAACTTCTAAGAACCATCTCCCTATGCTTATATCAGACTTGAGCATTAGACATAACACGCCACTCAAGTTAGGACAAGCAGAAGGGCTTCTGTACAGGAGAGTGGATGCATACACAGGTGGTGGAAGGATTGGAAGAACTGCAGTCAAGGGGCTGCTCCTGGATTGTTGAGACCAGGGCAGTCAGCCGGTCAGGAAGCTGCTGCAGTCACTGAAGTTGCTTCTTGACACTCGCAGGCTGGACCCTGGAAATGTTGAGGCCAGCCGTGGCAACTGACTCACATCCAAATAACCTCCGTCAAAACATTTCTGCTTTTCAGTCTCCTGGAGGTGCATCTGACGGGTGGAATTACATCTACCACAAGTGAATCTGGAAGATGTGGGGTTTTGGCATTCCATTTTTTCCAACTGGAAGGAAGTTGAAAGAGGCTACCCAAGGTCTCTACCGTAAAGATACAGACATGTTTTATAAGCTAAGACTCATATAATAAGAGAAGGTGGTTGAAGTCCTGAATTGCACAAATATGGCTCAATCAAGCAGCGTGATAGAAATGCAGCAGTTTGAAGAGCCCACGAGACATACTTGTTCTTTACCTAAACCATAGATCAGAGAAGCATGGCTATTCTTCCTCTTTTTATTTCACAAAATAACATTTTTGAAGAAATAATTTTCTTAATGCTTGATGAAATGATAATGGTTAAAAAAAATTAAAAGTTGCTTTTCCTTGTAATGAAACAATTATAACCTGGAGAAAACGCACAGACCATCATAGAAATGGGTCAAAACTATGATTCGTTTCTCTCAGATAGGCCTTTTTGGAGTTATCAGTTATTATACACTTTTTGGAGTTAAATTCATTACCACCCTGTAATGTTTATGAGCCTATTAATTATGAAAATGATTTTGACATGATAACTGATAATGGCATAAAATCTTTTATTATTACACTTTACAACATGATTTTTCCCCCCAAGAATTATCTGAATAGTAGTATAAATTACAAGAAAGATCCTGAAAAACCAGATTAGTTTTTCTGGAACAGCTGTTAGAAGAGGGCGAATTCACTCATTCATTTATTCTTGCATGCATTCTTGCAGGAAATATTGACTTAATGCCTACCTAGTACCTACCAGCCATTGTATTAGGTGCTGAGTACACAGAGGTGGATAAATGAACATAAGCCCTAATGGAGCTTACAATTTGATAAGAGAGGCACACAGTGAATTAGTGAACATAATGTCCATAAATACAACTTGGAGTAAGGGCCATAGTGGAAACAAATTTGGGGTAATGACAGAAACCTAGGGAGCTATTTAAATAGATAAGCTTGTTAAAGCAGGCCTTTCTAAGAGACAACATTTAAATTGGAATCTGATATATTGGAAGGATCCAGCCATTGATGTGTGCATCTTTATGCGATGTGTGAATGTGAATATGATGAGTGTGTGTATGTGTGCGCACGCGTGCGCACTCACGCGCATGTGATATATATATACATACAATACGTCTGAGAGGAAGTACATGTGGTCAGAATATGCAGGGACATATGTAGGTGTTTGTATTTATTAAAAGTGTAATAGGGGGCGCCTGGGTGGCTCAGTTGGTTAAGTGACGGCCTTCGGCTCAGGTCATGATTCTGGAGTCCCGGGATCGAGTCCCGCATCGGGCTCCCTGCTCAGCGAGGAGCCTGCTTCTCCCTCTAACCCTCCCCCCTCTCATGTACTCTCACTCTCTCAAATAAATAAATAAATCTTTAATGAAATAAAATAAAAGTGTAATAGGAAACACTTGAAGGGTGTTAACAGTGTAAGAAAACATTCTGATTTATGTTTTGTACAAGTATATACTCATTTTGATAATGGTTAA